ATAATACCTTTAATATCATTAAATCATACCCTGCTTAAATTAAACCAAAAGTAATTAATTGAGTAATACAAAAAACTACGACGGCCATAACAAATTACCTGCAATATTAGAAATTAATTGTGGCACCTCAGGTGACAATTTTTTTTTTTTTCATTTTACAAAACACAATTTAAAGGGACTCATTAAAATCCACCAAAAACTTAAAATCCCTTATGACAATTGACGAAAATAAACAATGGACGTGGGTGTTAAATATTCCACAGATAAACTAGACATTTAAATAACGGGTAACGGCAAGTATTTAAAGTTCATCTGCCTTACCTGTATGCGTCCTCTTATGGGCTTGCAGTGACTTTTCTCTTGGGAAAACTCTTCCGCAATAGGTGCATTTTATTGAACTAGGTGATGTAGAACCTTCTAATATCAGAGCAGTCAGTAAATCGGCCCTAGGACGGCCCCTACGAGTTTCATTTGGAGACAATACACCCTTCTCTAAACTCGGACTACGGCTAACCGGTCCTTTGTCCATGATATTTGGGCATTTTGCTTTGAATACTCGATTATCGGGTGTTAAGTCGAATGCACTATCATCTTTAGAAGACATTTTATTTCTTTTTGGCGTCTGATACATATTATTAACTTATTTTTTAACCTTCATTTAGACACAACACAAACCAGCAACAAAGCACAGTCAAAACAAACGAAGATGGCGCTGCAAAATGGAGGGAATTAAGAAATGTGATGGCAGGAACTTATCGATTGAGATTATAATCACTGCATACATATTTCAATTTAATAGCTCATTATAAGACGTTCGTTGACCTTTGTTATCGAATTTTGGCACTGAATCTTCATTGACTGACGGTAATTTTGTTTATTTAAGTTTACAGTTTTCAAATTAGATTTTCGCCCGGATGACACTCCGATCTTCTGCGCATGTAGAAAACTGTATCATTGATTCAAACACATAGTCAAAGAAAACAAAGCCCATAGAAGCCCATAAGTACGATTTTAATGTATCCTGAAATGTATAGTACCTATTATGATCACTAGAGAGCGATAGCACTACGATGTCAGTATTTATATTTAATGTGGTCACCAACAGAATTGGGTAGCAGTCACTGACGCCAGTAGGCTGAATTATATCGAAGTACGCCAAAATAAATTGAATTAAAAAGCCCATTCGGCTTTTGTCAGCGATTGCTACCCAATTTTGTTGGTAACCATATTAAATAATGTACTACCGTCGCTCTCTTGTGGTCAGGGTAGGTACTATAACTTTCAGGAGTATAGTCTATACACAAAGATTGTACTTATGACATTGTCTAAGGAATCCTTAGACAATGCTTATAACATCTGACATAGTTTCAGTAATTTAAAGTATTCAGCTCTGCTTCTAGATGTCGGGACTGTGAGTACTCGGAAAAAAACTTCGACAAAATTTACAGGTGTTTCTCAAAGTTGTCATTTATTTAAAGAGCTTGGAGAACTTATAGTGATGAGTTGATGTACCCAAAATCACCTTTATAAAAGTTGCATAATAACAGTAAAAATATTACGGACATCTGATGTTTCGAAATAAGACACTTGGCTTATTGCCTCTTCAGCACTAATCTGGATAACATTATAAGATGAAGCAATCAATTGATTCATAATATTACCACTTAATGTCACAAATACGTTTAATATACTCATGTCATCTATGACAGTACCTACGTAATGACATTCATTCAAATATTTGATCAAATCCCAGCCATAGGAATCTTGTTTGAATCAATTATTAATTCTTGGGAAAATAATCTCTCCTAAAAATATACCCTTTTCAATTGAACCCTTTCAGACCTGATTTTTATTTTTTTATAAAAAAAAAAAATATTTGTTGTCGCTGAGTGTTTTCTATCCTATCAAAGAATCGTACTGTCAAAAGAAAAATATAATTTTTTTATCAATAAAAATATTATGGTGTGTACATTATACAGTCCATTGGGACTCAAAAGTTGCCGTTGTACATTTCCATATGT